GGGGGGGGTACTTTATTTGTGGTCATTTTTATATTTTATAGAATATATCTGTTATTTACGTTTGGAGAAGAATTTTCCTAAAATGGTCCGTAATCGAGAAATTTGACAAAATGTAAAAAAATAATTTTTTATAAAAAATGTTTAAATAAAAGTTGTTTGTAATATAATTCTCTATAAATTTAATCCTATACATAATTTCTCTTAAATGGACCGTCGAGATATTTCAGAAAATGTGTTGAATTTTGAAGAAAACTCAAAAACGGATCAGGGAAAAAACATTAAATTTTAAACTTAAGTTTTATTTCGGCCTGACGTAAAATGATTACATTTTGGACAAAGTCGAAACATCTGGGGGGATACTTTACGTTTTTATATTTTATGGAATATATCTGTTATTTATGTTTAGAGAAGATAATTGTTCAAGTAAAAGTTACTTCTAATATTATTATCTATAATTTTTGCTTTATGTAAAATTTTCCTGAAATGGTCCGTATTCGAGAAATTTGACAAAATGTGCAAAATTCTGATTTTTAAAAAAATTGTTAAACTAAAAGTTGTTTGCGATATTGATCTCTATAATTTTTGTTTTTTCATGATTTTTCTAAAATGGACCGTAATGAAAAAATTGGAGGAAAAGTGCTAAATTTAAAATTTTCAGTATTTTCGTTTTCAATGAATATCTATAGAAAAATTTTTCGAGTTAGATATATGTGGAAAATGTATATATTTAGTCTATCCTCTAAACATTTTTAGAGGTGCTGCAATAGGATGTAAAAAATAACTGGAAAAAGCCTATAATAACTAAATAGGAAAGTCATGTGTTGGACACATCAGATTTTTTTGTCTAGTTAATTAAACCCAGTTCTATCCTACATATTATCCTTTGTTGGAAAAACTTTAACTTTCTAATTATAATTATAAAAATAAATAAAAAACGTGAACTGACATATCATATCTAATAAAATCGTCAAAAATGTATACATTCATAACATATTTTAAAATAAAAAAGGTATCGCTTTAATGTTTCAAGAGTATTATTTCAAAACTGTTAATCTATATGAAGTTATTTATAAACACTTAATTATTGTTCTTCCCAGTAAAGGTAGTTGCGAAATTTACCCTATTCTTAACGAGTCTTCAAATGATGTGACAACCATGTGTGTGTATGACCCCATTATGTTGGTAATAACTTAATTTCCTATAAAAAGTGCGACCTTGACAAAAAAGTGTGTAAGGGAGTGTGTATGGCCACATTAGACATTATACCGTAATATATAACCATATCTATCTTTAAGAGGACTGACCCCCTAAGTCTGTTAGCATAAAAAATGGCAAAAGAAGGAGTGTATCTAAATAATTTCAATAGCTATAAATAGATTAAAAGATTCTACATAAAGTACATGCAGAAATTTCATTGTCCCCATAATTCACGTCAGTGTCATGTGGCCGCACAATGATTTCCCGGTGTGTGTGTGTGTGTGTGTGTGTGTGTGTGTGTGTGTGTGTGTGTGTGTGTGTGTGTGTGTGTGTGTGTGTGTGTGTGTGTGTGTGTGTGTGTGTGTGTGTGTGTGTGTGTGTGTGTGTGTGTGTGTGTGTGTGTGTGTGTGTGTGTGTGTGTGTGTGTGTGTGTGTGTGTGTGTGTGTGTGTGTGTGTGTGTGTGTGTGTGTGTGTGTGTGTGTGTGTGTGTGTGTGTGTGTGTGTGTGTGTGTGTGTGTGTGTGTGTGTGTGTGTGTGTGTGTGTGTGTGTGTGTGTGTGTGTGTGTGTGTGTGTGTGTGTGTGTGTGTGTGTGTGTGTGTGTGTGTGTGTGTGTGTGTGTGTGTGTGTGTGTGTGTGTGTGTGTGTGTGTGTGTGTGTATTTGTGTATATGTGTGTATTTGTGTATATGTGTGTATTTGTGTGTGTGTGTGTGTTTGTGTATGTGTGCGAGTGTGTGTGTGTGTGTGTGTGTGTGTGTGTGTGTGTGTGTGTGTGTGTGTGTGTGTGTATGTGTGTGTGTGTCTGTATCCACCATAACTCATGAACCGATACAAACAAAAACACCAAATTTTAAACTTAAGCTTTATTCTGGCGTCTAATGAACAAATTAGATTATAAGTGGTCATTTTAATATTTTATGAAATATATCTGTTATTTACGTTTGGAGAAGAAATTTCTTCAAATAAAAGTTACTTATAATATTATTATCATCAATATTTTTGTTTTATACAAAATTTTCCCAAAATAGTCCGTATTCGAGAAATTTGACAAAATATAAAAAAAATATTTTTTTTATAAAAATTGTTTAAATAAAAGTTGTTTATAATATAATTCTCTATAATTTTTATGCTATACATAATTTCTCTAGAATGGACCGTATTCAAGATATTTGAGAAAATGTGTAAATTTCGAATTTTGAAGAAAACTCAAAAACGGATAAAGAAAAAAACATTAAATTTTTATATTAAGTTTCATTTCGGCCTGACGTGAAATGATTAGATTTTGGACAAAGTCAGAACATCTGGGGGGGGGGTACTTTATGGGAGTCCGGTTTTATATTTTATGGAATATGTTTGAATAAGAAAATTGTTTAAATAAAAGTTACTTCTAATATTATTATCTACAATTTTTGTTTTATGAAAATTTTTCTGAAATGGTCCGTACTCGAGAAATTTGACAAAATGTGCAAAATTCTGATTTTTAAGAAAATTGTTAAACTAAAAGTTGTTTGTAATATCAATCTCTATAATTTTAGTATTTACATGATTTTTATAAAATGGACCGTAATGAAAAAATTGGAGGGAAAGTGCTAAATTTTAATTTTTCAGTATTTTCGTTTTCAATGAATACCTATAGAAAAATGTTTCGAAGTAGATGTATGTGGAAAATGTATTGTTACGCTGGTTTTTGGTATCACAATTTATTGAAAATTCAACTTTTACAATAACTCAATTCAACTGACTCAATAACTCTAACTGATAACATCAACGTGTAACGTCTATCACAAAACTGCCAACTGACGTCAGGTCGTCGACTTATATAGCTTGCCTCGATCTTCTAATACCTTCTCGAACAATCCGGACTTTTCTTTGACAAGGAATGACATTTCGGGACATTTATGAATTATTCTATCTTCTTTATTAACTCGTACCTTTACTTATGACGACCGCAGCACGCTACAGGGTGCTGCGTAACTGTATATATTTAGTTTATCCTCTAAACATTTATAGAGGTGCTGCAATAGGTTGTACAAAATAACCAGAAAAAGCCTATAATAACTAGATAGGAAAGTCATGTGTTGGACACATCAGTACCATCAGTAAAAATAATATTTAATAATATCTACCAAAAAGTATGGAACATCATTATCTGTAGAAAGTGCTTTATTGGCACTAGGAACGATATATATGCTGCCACTGTTCTAAGCGTTTAGTATCCTATAAAAACCGTTTACAATGACACAATTAAGCAGGGCCGACAAGAGGGGGTAGCTGAGACTAATTCCCAGGGCCCGGACTTTAGTGGGGGACCAACAGCGGCATAAGAGGGGCACGGCAGCTTTAGATGAGGACGGTTTTTTTTTAGAAGTTTGCCACAACAACACTTTTTTTTTCATTCCTAGAAGTTTTGCTTAAGGACCTTTTTTTTTTAAAAATTCACTGAAGATGAGAAGTTTTTGTTAATTGTCACGGAGTCCGACTTGGAAAATTGTCCCTGGGCCCGACCTGGCTCTCGAAGGCCGTGCAATTAGGGTTCAACAAAAATATAACAGTAGCAACTCTTTATCTGGCATTAAAACTATAAAAAATAAATTTTCTTTTCTAGTAAGTTAAATTTAATGTATAATTATTGTTGTTTGTAAGTCAGGATCTATGACTGTAAAATTTTATATTAAAGAAACTTGTAATAAAATAAACTACACTCCGTAAGATACATATTGTGATTAGTTTATAATAAAAATTATATTTAGACATAAATACATTATTTTACTTACATTAGAATCTTTAAAAAGACATTGAATTGATTTCTCGTTGTGTTTTCTTTAGTTTTACATTTGATTTGTATCCTGTTTTACAATCTGGAACGACGTAAATCTTGCTTTAATGTTTTCTGTCACTCATGTTACTTGTACTCAGGTACTTTTTTCACATTATTTTGATTCCTTTCATTATTTATTTAAAAAATCACTTCTTTTTACATTTTACATGTAAGTCATAGAAAATTGACACCGCTGTTATTCGACATGCCAACTACAGTCAATTTTGCGAACTTTATAAAAAGAAGGACGGAAATTTGAAATTCGACCATTGTCGATTTGCCTCCTTCTCTCTAGTATTCATATCTACGACTTAAGGGTGCGTTAAGTGAGCGGTCGGACTGGTCGAAACTGTCTAGCAAAAGAGAAAACCGACCAACATGACTAAACAGCTGATCGGTCAGAGTCAGTCAGAACGGTCGAGAAATTGAGTTTGAGTTGGTTAGTCAAAACTGTCTAGTGAATGGGCAATTGTCAATTCATGTTTTTATTTCATTTAAACATACAAGAAATTAATAGTTATGGATAAACTAATGTTGTTGAAAACCAATTTAATACATGAAACGGGAAAAACCAAATATTATGAAATATTATTACGGGATTAGTCACCAGTTACTCTAAAATAGGCGGAAAAGCTACACGTACAAAAATCTTTCCTATTCAAGATGCTGATGCTTGAAAGAATTATATTTATTAATGAAATTTCATCATCAGTTTGAAAAGCCAACTGATAAATAGCCATAATAAGTTTATTTCTCTTTCTCATATTCATATTATTTTTTTAAATGCCTTCGTCTTGAGTTTACCGCATTCTTTACAACTATCGATGTGTCGAGGGACTCACAAAATACAGGAAAGAGGAGAGACTGCCTGGTCTTGTAATTTTCGGTTAGCTATTAAATTTTACAAATTAGGACTAGACAGTTTCGACTACATTGTCTAGCGAGCGGTCTGACCATACCAGTCAAGTTGACTGTTGACTTAACGCAGCCTAAATAGACCAGTTTAAACTGTCAATTTGGCAATCATTTTCAGATTAAAAGCCCCACATAAAAACAACAATCATGACAGTATAGCCCTGTTATATGTCTCCGAAACTATTTGAAAAAGTTAGATTTTTTGTTAATGACTACTCGGATAGTGGTATGGAAATAATTACACATTACACCGCCGAAGAGGAGCAACTCGTCATCCAATCGGCTTTAAAGAAAAAAGAACAAACCATTCTAGAAAATCGGCGCGCTAACAAACATTTCAACCTCAGAAATAAATCGATACAACAATATTTTCAACGATTAAGCGGTTTCAACAAGAAAAAATGCATCTTGGAATTCGTCGACAAGTTGAGAAATCCCGCAAACACTTTCCAGATATTGAGCAATATGTCTCTATCCCGCATCAAGATGGATTCATACTCTATCGTTGATCCCAAGACTGACAATTACCATCAAAAACTGACCTGGGACCACGACAGGATGCTTGACAAGGACACAATTTTTGAAACGATGGATAACGATGCCGAATGGTTTGGGAAACTCGACGATGATAAGCAATTTAAACTGGTCATGGGATTGATAAAACTGTGCAGTTGCGCTGTCAAGAGAACTTTATATATGCCATTGTATCGAATTTACAGTGCTTCCATTACTACTTTTATGAAGTCGCATTTTGTAGGTAGAAGTGCGTTGGATGCCATAAAGGAACTTCATATTGATCCTTTGGAGGATGATCCAGAATTTGATCCGAAACATCCATCTTCAATTGAAGTATGTAAACAAAGAAAGAAATGGTAAGATCGTAGTTAGTAGATAATATCCGATTAGTTTTTCTATTATTTTGCATTTAACAGGCATCTAACGCTCGAGCTAAAGAATTGCATATTCAGGGGGGAGCGGTCCAAGGCACGAGGAGGGTGGACCTCTTGGTAAATCTAACTCTATTCTTTGAAGTGAGAAACGACTAATAACTGGCATACACTATTTAAGCGCTGCACACTCAGGTCCGAAATTAACGAGTGGAATATAATACATGTAGTTGAGTAAATCCAAACCAATTTTCGGTCTGTGCAGAACTTTTTTATTTATGAAAAGTTTAAAATTTTGCATTTTTATGATACAGTTAGTAGGTTTTTAATCCATAGATCGTCATATTATTATCTCAATAAATATTTGAGTTATCGATTTGATTTTTTTCAAAAATTGAAGTAGAAACATGAGTACCTTTCAGTCAATGGCGGCTCGTAGTTATTTAAAATGGGTGTTCACTTTCTCCAATAATTTTTTCATTTGTAAGTTCGGTTCAAAACTTTCTACAAGAGCCAATATCACTGTTTTTATTTTATTATTTGAGTTTGTATTAAGTGTAGTTATTATCAACATCATACTGTTTTCAAGCACTACAACTAATAATAAATGAATATTTTAGTTAATGTAATATTTGTTTTGTTTTAAATACATTGAAAACCATCTATAAACATTATTTGAGATTATTTTTAAATATATATCAGGTTGTGTAGAAAGCTTGACATTGATTTTTGTGTAAAAAATATATAAAACTTTACTTACCATTTTTCAGTTTTTATTGTAAGTTTAATCATTTTCACAATTTGTCACAGATGTCAAATTAAAAATATATTTTTTAAAAACCTTTTATTGGCAAATAAAATAAGAACTAAAATGTTTTAAATGTTTATTTTATAAGAGCAGGCCCATCACAATACATACTATTACACAGATACAAACTAGAATAAAGATATATAGTGCCTGGCATTCTAAATGATACTCTTCGCAGTTTAACAGACCCCCTTAACTACCCGTTTTATACCTGATTGTTTTCACAATCAATAGGCCGCATCTCCTTATAGGGCTTGATTTTTACTAAACATTTCATGTTGATATCGCTTTTCATTTTTAATTTTTTTTGTTTTTTAATTTAATAAAAAAAAATTAAATTTAAAGGGCTTCTTCTCCTTTTAGAGCTGGATGTTTGCTGAAAATTTCAAGTTGATATCATTTTTCGTTTTTCAGTTAGGATTTTCTTTTAATATTTTAACCTCCCTTAATGAATTAGCCCGAGAAGGCTCAGATAAGGCCATGACAGGCCCTGAACCCTTCTGTGGAGTTGCTAAGGCATTGTGCAAGGCATCCATTAAACAATGGATGCAAAAAGAGTCTCAGGAATGGTGGAACAACTATCCAAGACTAAGACAGGCCAAACAGTTCATCAAGAAACCATCGGCCAAGTTTACGAAAGACCTACTGGATCAAAAACGTTAAATCGTTAGGATAACAGTAGGCCTTCTTACTGGACACTGTCGCCTCAAAAGGCACATGAGTGTCATAAATCCAGCAGAAGAAGCAACTTTGTGCAGGTTCTGTGAAGAAGAAGAGGAAACATCATTCCACGTCCTGTGCCAATGTGAAGGCTTGGCTGGAATGAGGTTTCTAACATTGGGCGAAGAAAAGCCAATTGCATGCAACTACATGCGGGAGCCACTGTCAAAGCTACTAAGGCTAATAAAAAAGACCAGGCTAGACAACATACTCTAAAACAAACGGAGTCCCACAATAGATCTGAAAAGGTCGCGGTGGACAAGGACAAACAACGTCCAACTCCTAATCTAATCTAATCTAAACCTCCCTTAACTCCCCAATATATTCATATTTTTTTCAGTATCAATAGGCTTTATCTTGTTATAAAGCTTAATTTTTACTTAAAATTTTATGTTGATATCGCTTTTCGTTTTTAATTTAGATTTTTTTTTTAATTTCAACCTATCTTAACACCCTATTTTTGATCAGATTTGTTACAAATTAATAAACTTTGTCCCCTTATAGAGCTTGATTTTTGCTTAAAATTTTCAAGTTGATATCATTTCTAGTTTCTGACTTATCGTGCAGACAAAAAACGTCGGACAGACGGACAAAGTAAACCTATAATACTCTTCACAGAATACTGTATGAAAAAAAAGAAAAAAAATGTACAAGGTAAAATAAACAGTCAACAATAATATTCAACTTCTTTTTTCAAAGGATACTAAAAGTTTGAAATAGCAGCACATAATTGAACATTTACAGAAATCTGTGCAATAATCTCTTTCTTATACCCGCATATTACCTACCTACAATTTAAATTAGTATAAACAAGATATCCTTATTCATATGTCCCAAAATTTTCCAGCGCCATTCTCCAAAAATGTGTGATATCGGATTATTACTTTTTAAGCGCCGACCACAGAATTAGAAGAGTATTTATGAAGTTTTTCCAAAGATTGTAAACAAGAATCATATTTTTTAGATTCGGTATATATACAAAAATCATTAGCATACTGTATTATTTTGAAAGATGGATTTTTGATACAGATTTCGTGAAAATCGGCAGTATACATATTAAACAGCAAGGGGCTCAATACTGAACCCTGTGGAATGCCAGAACTATTATATCTCGGGCCTATAATTTTATTATTATGTGTTCTTATATACAACTTTCTTTGTGTATAAAAATCAACAATTGTTTCCGCAAGTTGGGGAGGTATGTGGAATAACTTAATCATCATATGCACCTTCTATATCAATAGATAGTGTTGGCAAATATATTTTATTGGAAAGAGTATGCTGAACATCAGTGACAAGAGTGGTGAGTGCATCTACTGTGCCGTATCCTTTCCTAAAACCAAATTGAGACTTTGGTAAAAGGTGTTTCCTAGAGAGCCACCATTCTAATCGGTGTTTTATCATTTGTAAAATAATAAATCCAAAGGAAATACTACGTTTAAACTTGAAATATATTACAAAATTGTAATTGACATGAACATTCAAAATTATTATCAAAAGTGACATTCATAAACTACTACATACAAAATTAAAATAATACATAGGCGCTCGTAAATAATATATTTTCTACATTCTCCACCCCGTGAAGGATCTTCACTTACGTTTATTTAAGAAACTGGGAGAACACATAATTTTGATACAGGTCTAGTATAAGTACCCTTCGTGGTGACAACCTTGGCAACTCGAATTACACCATCTTTCCCAGGATATACTTCTTCGATTCTTCCAAGAAGCCATTCGTTCCTTGGTGATTTTTCATCAACGATAACTACTATATCTGAGGTCTTAATGGGTGTACCCTTTTGATGCCATTTTTGGCGATTAATAAGACTTGGTCTATATTCTTGAACCCAACGTTTCCAATATAGATCCGCTAAAGCTTGTGCAAAAATCCACTGCTTCTTTGTTACTAGATTATTAGGGCCAGATGATCTTACACCACCAGGTCTTAGCAATAAAAAATGGTTAGGAGTAATTGCTTCAGGGTCAATAGGATCGACTGAAATATGGGTCAGGGGACGTGAGTTAATAATATATTCAGCTTCAAGGAGTAAAGTTAGAAGAACCTCTTCTTTTGGTTTTACAGAATTAAGAGTTATCTTTAGAGATCTCTTTACTGACTTTATCATTCGCTCCCTCACACCAGCCATGTTTGGAGCTAGAGGACAGTTAAATTTCCAGATTGTTCTTTGAACGCTTAAACTATCGGAGATCCTTTGGTGATCCAATGAGTCAAACCAATTCTTTAACTCTTTTTCTGAACCCACAAAATTGGTTCCGTTATCTGTCCAAATTTCCTTAGGCTGTCCTCTTCTGCAACAGAAACGACGAATGGCCATAATGGTTGAACTAGTTTCTAAGGACGCAACTAATTCTATGTGAACCGCTCTTATGGTCAGACAGGTGAAAAGAACACCGTAGCGTTTTTCTGTTCTACGCCCTATACAAACATTCATCGGACCAAAGAGATCAATGCCGACATATGTAAAGGGAAACACATTTTGTTCTAATCTCACGGAAGGCAAGAGACCCATCTCTGGGGTAACAGGTTTACAGTTTCTAATTTTGCAGAACTGACATTTGGAAGAAACTTTTTTAACGGCTGAACGAATGTGTAAAATCCAGAATTTCAATCGAAGGTTATTAATTACAGTTTCAACACCAGTATGCCCTGCTTGTTTATGGTAGTAATCAATAAGCAATTCTGTATATTTGTTTTTCGGGTCAAGAATTATAGGAAATCGAGAATCATGACTTAAATTTAGATGTGTATCTGGGAACCTACCACTGAGTCTAAGAATTCCATCCTCATCTATAAATGGGGACAATTTGAAAAGACGACTAGATTTGGGGATATATTTATTTTTCGAAAGAACAGAGACTTCTTCAAAGGAATTGTACTGACTCCATTTTATCCACAAAACAGATGCTTCATTTATAAATTTTATATCAAGGATTAAGGAATTCTGCTTAGAAACCGGGTGTTTTACAGTTTTCTTAGATTTTACAGATACTTGGGAAAGTAGAGCATCTTTAAATTTTAAGATCCACCCTGTGGAACGAATTAAACGAGACCAGTTGGAGAATCTATTTACATCAGGCAACCCAAAGATTTTATCGGGATCTTTTGTAATAACACATACATCTTCGCATTTTAATTCAGGTTCTTTAGGCCAAAGATCTTCCGACAATCTGAGAAATTCTGGACCTTGGAGCCAAATATCCAGATCAAAATTTTTACCTTCTTTCGTAGCTTTATCAGCTACGTTTAATTCGGAAGGAACCCATCGCCATTGAGAGATATCTGTTTCCTCTTGTATTTCCCCTATCCTACATGCAACAAAGCTTGGGAATCGTCGCGATTGAGACCGAATTTGTTTTAAAACAATCATGGAATCCGTCCAGTAAAAGACTTGGTCGATTTTGTATTCGATTTCCTTACAAATCGCTTTGCCTA